AGGATTTTTAAAAGGTAAATGCCCAGTAAGTTTGTTGTTTTTTCCACTGAATCATGTCCGACTCTTCTGTGACCTGATGGACTGTAGCCTTCCAGGCTTCTCTGTCCATGGGATTTTCCAGGCAAGAATACTGTTGTGGGTTGCCATTTCCTTCTCTAGGGGATCTTCCTGACCCAGGGATTGAACCTGCATCTCTTGCATTGGCAGGTGGTCTCTTTACCACTGAGCCACCAAGGAAGCCCCTCAGTAAGTTTGGGTTACATCAAATGGGGCTGATTTTGTAAAGTTTCTCATGCACTTGAATTCTCTGTGTTTGAACTTAGAATTAACAGTTGCCAAAGCAGGATCTGAATTTTACTCAATAGTATCTTTGACAAAGAAGAAATCTGTCTTTCTGGAAATGTGTGGGTACAGACTTGCTGGGGACAGGAGGACTAGCCCCCTTTGAGGCTCTTTGTAATCCAGTGATCATGGCAGTTAAGGATATAGTGGAACTGTAAATCATTGTAGAGTTCTTTATCACCCTAGAATTAAAAATTAAAGGGACTTCCCTGGAGGTCCAGTGGTTAAGCTTCGAATGCAAGGGGCGCAGGTTTGATCCCTGATTCACAAGCCCCACATGGCGCAGCTAACAAAAGAAAAAAAGCTAAAACAGTAAAATTTAAAAATTAAGAACCCAGAAACTGTTCAGAAGGCATATATTGTAAATCATGTTCCTTCAGCTTCAGTCGCCTCCACCCTGAGGCAGTTCTCTCTTTGTTACTTTCCAGATAGTCTGTAGGAATGAAAACACATTCAGTACTCAAAAATGTTTCTTTATATATTGTTTATATTGTAAGCACCTTACTCTTTTCACTTGTTAATGTCTCTTAGCCATCTTTCCACATCAGTTTCCCTTGATGTTTTTTTTTTTTTAACCTCTCTGTGGTTTTTTATTTTAACATTGTGCCATAATTAGATGATAACTTGTATTATTTCATGCATTTTGGCTTTTGGGTCTCATCTGGGTAGATGTTAGCAGTAGAGTATTGACACTGGATATTTAAACTTGTGACATATGCTCTTCAGAGTTTTAAGTGGTCTTTGTTGTGTTACTGGTTTAGTCTTACTGCTACTGCTACTGCTAAGTCACTTCACTTGTGTCCAACTCTGTGCGACCCCATCCCTAGGATTCTCCAGGTAAGAACACTGGAGTGGGTTGCCATTTCCTTCTCCAATGCATAAAAGTGAAAAGTGAAAGTGAAGTCGCTCAGTCATGTCTGACTCTTTGCGACCCCATGGACTGCAGCCTACCAGGCTCCTCCGTCCATGGCATTTTCCAGGCAAGAGTACTGGAGTGGGGTGCCATTGCCTTCTCCACTGGCAGTGCACTATTCTAACTTCGTGGGCCTCTGCTTACTTGGTCTTCTAGCCCCCTCTTTCTACATTCTTCTTTCTCTTTTCCCCTTCTCTCCCTCTATAATTTAAATGGGTTTCTCTGTCACAGACCATCCTTTCTAGTTCTTCAGTGAAGTTACATTCTTTTGTTCAAAATGGAAATACCGACTAGGAAATGGAAATATCCCAAATTCAACATTTTAAAACTTCCCAGAGTCAATAAAAGATAAAGGGTGGAGGGACTATTTGGATGTGTATTTGAATATGATCACTATCAGGTAAACAAGCCTCTTCCATCATTTGTAAATTAAAACAAAAAATCAATTTTTACTTAAGTTGGGAGAGCAGAATCGATGTTATAAAACTTCAGAAAGTTTTCCAGTAAAGTCTGCAGGTGCTGAGTTTAGGCTAAAATTTACAGCTTTGTAACTTCTGAGTACTTTCCAGCTGTGGTGGGCTGTTTATGATTTTTTTTTTTTTAACAGACTGTTTGCTTTGCATTCTTATGGGTGTCACAGAAACATTAGTTTATCTGAATTGACAGGTGCAAGAACTTTGAACAGTTAATGTGTAGTTGAACTGGTGGGGGAGGGGAAGCAACAGAAACTTGCTTTTATCATGTATCTGTTAACTTTGATAGACCATACTGTTTCATTTGGCAGAAATTCCTTTGCTGGGCATCTCAGTATGGTATTAAGAATTGAAAATCTGGGAATTCCCTGGTGGTCCAGTGGTTAGGATTCAGCACTTTGACTGCTAAAGTCTGGGTTTGATTCTTGGTTAGGTTACTGAGACTAAACTTGTGTGGCCAAAAAAGAAAAAAAAGAATCGAAACTCTAATAATAAATTATCCTTATCCCTGGAAGTGGTCCTTTCCAGATGAGCTTAGAAGAATAAGATGGGATAATGGTTGTTCTGTTTGCTGAGCGGACAAACACTATGATTCGGTAGAAAACTTAATGCTAGAGCTGTAACCTTTTAAGCCTGGCCATCACTACAATGCTGGTCTTTCAGTGCCTTTCTCAGCTGACACACACATTAGCTATGATAACATTAAACGAAGTGATTCAAACAGGTTAGAATTTCCCTGTGTTTTGCTCTGAGCTGCACACAAACCATTGTTCTTTGAGTAGTTGCTTAATAATCTTTTCTCCCCTTATTAAAAGGTCAAAGAATTGCAAATGAACATCCAAGTAAATATTTGAAGAACAGTTACATTGTCATGAATAAGACTATGACTTAAAAAATAAGTGGGTACCTCCATTAGTCAAAATTGAAGGAGAAATAAGACTTGGCTTCTTGTCCTTGATCTGCTACTAATTAACAGTATGGTCTTACTTAAATCTTTTAAATTTCTCTGAGTCCCAAACAGCATCTTTTTTTTTTTTTTTCTTTTAAAGGTCAGTGTATTTGATCTCTTAAGTTTTGCTAGCTTTATAATTCCTTGACTGTGCAAGGAATCCTCTGTGAAATGTATAAAGTGGCTGTGTTTTAGGGTTACAGATAGAATTATGAATGAGAGTGATGGTGTGTATTATGTTTTTCTTAATTTGAAGGTAGAAGTTTTGTTTTCACTGTAGTGGATAACTCAGTTTGCTGAGGTGTTGAAGTTTTTAAGATTCCTTTTTGAGTATCTTGTATCTCTTTCATATTTTAGGAATGTTTTAGTTTCGTGCTTGTGTCTATGGTAATATAATCAGAAGTATGTAATTTACAAAATAAAATGTCATAGAATATTATAAAAAGGCGACTTGAAGATAGAAGGTTAGGCTTGAAAGTTTGAGGCTTAGGTTCATTCTTATCTGTTTAAATTTCTCCCTTCAAGTGCCTCTGTAATCATCTTTCGTCTGGTCACAGTGATCTTTTTTAGAGTTCTGGGTAAGCATTTATTGGTGGCTTAGGGAAGAGGCAGGTGAAAGAACTTATACCTTGTTCCTATTTCCAGAGGAATTTATGATTATGTTGATACACTGAGCCAGTTATACAGATTACTGTTGTTTTGAAAACTCTGCCACTTCTCTTCTTGCCTTGTTTTTATTAGTAATTAATATTTGGACAGAAGACTGTGTCAATCAACCTTTAGATGCCTTTCTACTCTTGAGGTAGTGATATGTGAAATAGTAAAAAGATAAATAGAACTAGAAATGAGAGAACAGGAGTTGTACATTGGTTGAGTCAGCTGGCATTGTGGTACCTTTGAAAAAATATAGGACTTAACAGAAGACTTGAGTTTGAATTTGGGCTCAACTAATTCATTCACCTTAGGCAAGTCAATTCACTTTTCTGAACCTCATGTCATTCTTCATGGGTAGTTAAAAACTATCAGAGTTGTGAGGAAAAGATAATTTCTTGAAAGTACTTTTTGAACTGATATCATATTGGGGCCAGTGCATATATTTTGTATAGAAAGAATTAAATCCTCATGGAATTTTGGTAAATATCCTTCATCCATTTACAGATACAGTTTTAATCAGAAATAGTTAACATCACAGCAGAAAAACAAGATCCTTGTGAACTTTTTAATGAAAGGCTTCATGAAAGAGAGGTTTTAAGTATCTTTTAATCATTAAGAAATGATTTTTTAAAAACACAATCATTTTAAAATGACTTGAGTTAGAAATCTTATTAGTACAGAACTTTATTGAACCCCATTTTACAAAAAGAAAAGCGTGCTTTCGTGTGTGTGTGTGTGTACCACATGACAAGCATGATCTTAGTTCTCTGACCAGGAATTGAACCTGTGTCCCCTGCAGTGAAAGGGGAGTGAAAGTGTGGAGTCTTAACCACTGGACCACCAGGGAAGTCCTTGGGCATACTTAACTTTTGAATCTCTGATTTTTAAAAAAAGTCTTGGTATGTACACTTTTATCCTTTTATTGATGGATGGCAGTAGTTCAGAAGCTGCACCATTTCAGATGTCCTGGGCTCATAAAAAATGTACTCTTGACTTTGGGCATTGTGTTTACTATGCTGTGAACCTCCAGTTCATTTTACTTATGCTTTTCTCCTCCAGGTTTTTCGTTGGAATATACGTTGCACATTTATGGCGATTCTGAGCGTGAGGGCAGACTTCTGCCAGGCTCAGCACAGCGTTTCCGCTGACAAGTGAGCTTGGAGGTTCTATGTGCCATAATTAACATTGCCTTGAAGACTCTGGACACCGAGATTGGCCTCAGAAATAGTTGGCTTCTTCTTCTTTTTTTTTTTTTTTTAATTGCAAGCATATTTCTTTTAATGACTCCAGTAAAATTAAGCATCAAGTAAACAAAAGTGGAAAGCGACCTATACTTTTAACTTGTCTCACTAGTGCCTAAATGTAGTAAAGGCTGCTTAAGTTTTGTATGTAGTTGGATTTTTTTTGTAGTCTGAAGGTATCCATCAGCAGACATTGAGGCCCAAGTTGAATTTGGATTCAAGTGGATTCTAAATACTTCTGCTTATCTTGAAGAGAGAAGTTTTTGAAAGAATAAACAAGTTGAATAGAGAAAACACTGATTTAGGCATTTTAGTGGTCTTTTTAATGTTTTCTGCTGTGAAACATTTCAAGATTTATTGATTTTTTTTTTTTTTTCATTTTCCCCATCACACTCACACACGCACGCTCACACTTTTTATTTGCCATAATGAACCGTCCAGCCCCTGTGGAGATCTCCTATGAGAACATGCGTTTTCTGATAACCCACAACCCTACCAATGCTACCCTCAACAAGTTCACAGAGGTAAGATTGTAGCATGGTCTATCTTTTGGATTGATTTATAGGTAAAGTCACGTTAAAAGTTAACACCGTTGTAAAGAAATCTTTTACCACAAAGCCATTTATTTCTGTGGTTGAAGTATGGATGGTCTTTGTTTGAATTGAGCTCAATTAGTTAAAACAGATTTTTAAAAGAACATTTATGGAATTTGGAAATATCTTAGAGATATCTAGTACTGTGTTTTTGTTTTTTTTTACTGTATCCTTTCAGCATTGTTAACAGTTCTTTTGTTACACATTCAATAATAAAGATAATTAACATTTATTGAATACTTAGTATGTACCCAGCACTACAATAAGCAGTTATATGCATTGTATCATGTACTCCTCACAATAACCCTATGAGGTATAGGTACCATTGTTTCCCTCTTATAGATGAGGAAACTGAGGTTCAGAGTGATTTAGTAATTTAGCGATTTGCCTGAATGCACCCAAGTATGTGCACCAAGTATGTGACACTAAAACCCATTTCTGCCTCAAATGTTCTGACCACTTTTGATGAAAAGCTACTCTCAAACAACTTAGGAATAGTAGCCATCATACACATGTGTCCAGAAATTTGGGGGAAGGAAAGGTATCATAGGCAGCATTTTTATGTCAGATTCTGCATTTTTTCTTTTGGTAGTAGTAGAGAAACTTTTTGTACTTTAGTCAACAGACATTTGGATGTAAGCTTTTAGATCTTTCTCAGATTGTTCAATCCCAGTGTGATTTCTGTTGATATATTTATAAAGTAGACTTGGAGAGCTAGACGAATACCTAAGGATCCTAAATCTACCTCTGTCACTTTACAGATGGCAAAACTGAGTTCAGAAGAGATCTTTTGACTTGCTGAAGGTCACAAATATTTACCATAAAAAATTTGTACTGGAACCTTTCAATGAACAGCTACTGTAGAGTTCATTTTAATGGGATTTTATTTGTGTTTTGAAATTTTAAAAAATTCTTGACTCAATATATAACACAACTTCCCTGAGTCTGTTTTATAAAGAGGCTTTTCTGTGAAAAATAAAGTCTTTTAGCAATTAAAATAACTTTTCTCTTTAGATAACCAGATGATTGACACCAGATGATTAACAGTAGGATATCACTGTTCCTGCTTATTTATATTAATTCTCTGGGCTTCTTAACCTTGTGTACACAGTGTCCAAGTTGATTCCAAGCCTGTATGCCCTCAGGTTGTCACCTTGAAGCCTGGCTGAATTACATGATACTATTTTTAGCCTGTGGATTCCTTGGTCATAGACTCCTGCAACTATAAAAAGATATTGGTGGCATTACTATAGGGAAACTTTTACATTGTTTTTTGGCCACACTGTGCAACATGTGGGATCTTAGTTCTCCGACAAGGGACCAAACCTGTGTCCCCTGCATTGGAAGGAGGAGTCTTAATCGCTGGACCCCTGAGAAGGCCCTATAGGAAAACTGTTAAAGAAGCAAGACTTCTGGCTATAATTATTTCTGTGTTCCTTGACTTTGTAATATAAACCACTTTCTAAACTTAATTTCAAAATTACTGTTTCTTTAAGTTGCGAAAAGCACTTACTACATAAAAAATCAGAAGATACAAATAGGCAAAAGACAATTTAAAAATACTTAACTGTTAGTGCCTGCTGTCTAGACATTTTTCTCTGTATTTATGTGTATATTTATAAATATACATATAGATAGGATCACACTGTGTATTTAAAACAAATATTCCCCCAACCTCCTAAGTATAGCTGTCACAGTGTTCTGTATGAATGTGCTACACTTTCTTTAACTGTTTGCCTGTTTTTGGACTGTTAACGTTTCTAGCTTTTTACTGTCTCAGACAGCCTGTGCTGAGCATGCTTGTACCTGAATCTTTGTGTATATCTTTAATTATTTCATTAGTATAAATTTCAAGAAGTAGAATTTCTACGCCAAAGTGTATGTGTGTTTTTTTAAAGTTTTTGTGTTATGCTACCAAATTGCCCTTTACAAAAGTGAGTCTTATTGATGCTTCCACTGTGAATACAAGAGTCTCCATTGTATATGTTGTTACAAGAAGAATGATTTTGATCTTTGTTTAAGAATGAAGTCTCATTTCAACTTACACGCATGTGTTTTTAAAGCTTTCATTGCAGATTCTAAAAACAATATTTGTTTTTCTTTAAAGGAACTTAAGAAGTATGGAGTGACAACTTTGGTTCGAGTTTGTGATGCTACATATGATAAAGCACCAGTTGAAAAAGAAGGAATCCACGTTCTAGTGAGTGTGTAATGTTTTAATTTTTTACTGCAAACAAGTTGTATCTTTCACACATAGATATTTTTAAAACTTGGCGCTCATAGTTTGTTTTTTCAACTTACAGGAGATACAACAATCATAGCTATCTAGTAAAATTCCTTTGGGTTGGCAGTTTTGTTCATTTGTGCCCTTAAAATCTACAGATGCAGAGTATTTTCAACAAATAAAAGGCAAAATTTAGCGTACACTTATTTTAAGAAAATCAGAAATTTCATTTCTCTCTGGGCAATTAGCGTGATATCTAGCTTTTGTTTTTAGGCTACTGGTTTGAATTTAACTTTTCCATTAGACATTCTTAAATCATATGGAAATATTCTCTCTCACTTTGCAAGTACAGATTGGTTACTTAACATTTTATATTGTAGGAGTCCAATTTACATTGGACATAGGATAACTTGTAGGAGACAAAAAAGTGGGAGAAAGGAAAAGAAGGGAAAGGGAGAAGCCATCTTGCTTTAGAGTAATTAACATAGTCTGTGATATTTTTTGGTAGGTTTCTAACAAGCTTTTGTATGATTTGATTTCTTTCATAGTTCAGTTTGAATATAGTGATTGGAATTATTTTAAATTAAGTTTCTCCTTGCCCCTTAAATATTCTGTTTAATTAGTGGAAATAGGAACCTCAGATTAGGTAAAATTTTATACTTTATTCTCTTAAAAAGTTGTCTATATTAGATTAGCACATATTTGGTTGATCCTGTAGTCTTGGTGTCTTAGAGCTGTTTGACATGGTTGTGGGAAGGCACTGTAGTGCAAAGACAACTAGAGATTTTTTAAATGATTGGGTAGAAAGAAAGTACTAAGCAAGGTAATGGTACAAGGTTATGTTCCTATTTTTTATTGCATTGGTTACTAGTTGAGTAAGTCAGTTGATGCAAAGAAAATCAATGTCCTGTTGGTAAGGCAGTTGTCTCATACTTGATCCATAAAGTTTCCTCCCTCTGCTTTGGTGAAAACACAAAAACTAAAAAACCAAACATTATGGTTTTTTTTAGAAAATGTATTTTAATAGTATGACATGATAATAATACTTTGCTTGCATTCCTATTTCCAAATGACTTTAAGGTCCTCTGGCTGGATCACTGGGGATAAGTATAAACATGGGTCATGTAGCCTTATGTTTAAAATTACAAAAACAGAATTTTAACTTCTGAAATTCAACCAAAATACAAGTTCTTTTCCTGTATTGTAAGTATGTTCTTTAGTGGGTAGATGAGAAATCAGTTTGTTTTGACAGTTGGCAGGGTGAGAAAATGAACTGCAGAGTGACCGTAGTCTGTTTGAATCAGTAATGTTGGTAAACACCTTTATGAAATAGAAAGAACTAAAGAACTTGAAGTAGTTTGTAGAAGATAATGGTAGATCTGAGATTTATTCTGAACCTTTAAATCTAGGCTTTTGTTTTGAAGAGATGTGATCAGGTAAAATTAAAGGTCTAACTAAAGCTTGGGAAAAAAAGGGACATTTAGAATTAAGCTTGGAATTTCTTTTTTTTCCTAGGCAGAAATTTTAATTTTAGTGTAATCACTTTTATTTTTGCTAGGTGAAGAGGGTTTGTAACACTTTACATGAGGATATCCAACATGAGACCTTTCAACACTTTGACCAGTGTTCTTGTAAATCAGAGGCTTATTAGAAAAGACTGATGTAATGGTGGTTTCAACCATGTCTGTTTGAAGTTCAGATGCTTCTAAATTACTGCTTTAGTGATTTTTTGATAGAAACTGCTTGTATGAGTCAGTAAAGGCATGTTTCATATTACTGTTTCTTAACCAGATGCATTTCAGAGTTTTAGAGGAAGTAAGCTCTTGACTAAGATACTAATTTTACTGGTATTTACAGTTAAACTCTAGCGACATTTATGATAACAACACTGACAGCCCTTTAATTATGGGGTATAGTTGACAAATCAAACATAATGTGCTATTGTGGCTGATGGGCTACATGAAGTGTTTTAGTGGTGCCAATAATAAGTGCAGAATCAATTTAGTGTTCTGTCACTTTTCTCTTTTTCCTTCTCTAGTATCTTAAAGTGTCCTTATCCAATCCCATTAGAACAGTATTAAAAAAAATTTCCAGTGTCTTTGCATTTCTGTCCTTGAAGCTAGATGGGAGAGAGGGTATGTACCACGTGAATCTCCCTTCTCTCTTTTCTTCAAAGGTTACTTATGTTGATTTCTCAGAACCTTGTGTTTTGGTACCAAGGAAGATAAACTCATGCCTGCATTGTGAATGCACATGGGGTTGGACTTAATTGAAAAAAACCGAAATCAGTGACTATTAAAGGAGAAAGGAATGCTTGAGAAAAGGGTCTTTTCTTCCTGGTGTTGTATCGTGTGGCACTGCGCTCATAAAATGGGATGTGTACACTTCAGGCAGAGCTTTAGGATGTCTGCTGCTTGACTTTCACCGAATACACATGTGAGCACAAAGGTGGTAGTCCGTTCCTGTCATGTCTGCTGTTGGAGATTGCTTACCGGAGACTTTTGCTCTAAAGAAAAGATACTTGTGACTTAGAGCGACTTATAAATAATTTTGAGGATTATCCTCTATTTCTAGAGACCAGTGAGATACCAGTTGGTACACTTCTTTGCCAGAGTCGACTTATAAATCTTATTGACAGGTGTTGTGTCCTCTCTTAGTTTGTCTCAGTTTTAATTTTCTCTGTTATGTCTTAATTACTGCTCTACTCACCCACTCCAGTGTTCTTGCCTGGAGAATCCCAGGGACGATGGAGCCTGGTGGGCTGCCGTCTATGGGGTCGCACAGTCGGACACAACTAAAGTGACTTAGCAGCAACTGCTCTATTCAGATAAGATGTTTGAAGAATGCTAGCCTCTTGTCACTATGATAAGAGTTATTTCCAAAGATAAAGTTTGATGCTTTTGATGCTGGCTATGCTTCATTGAGAAGACTGAGTTGTCTGGCATGCTTGAATTTTTATCTTGATAATTTTTCAGAAGTAATCAGAATTGTGTGATTAAGAATAGGTACGTGTTAGTACAGTTAGTGTAGTTAGGCCTCTCTTGTGTACTGTGTAGCTGTTGTGCATTAGGATGTTCATCCTGGAGAAAATATCAATTTAATTTCAAAGATCTTTTCCTCCTAGGATTGGCCTTTTGACGATGGAGCACCACCCCCTAATCAGATAGTAGATGATTGGCTAAACCTACTAAAAACCAAATTTCGTGAAGAACCAGGTTGCTGTGTTGCAGTGCATTGTGTTGCAGGATTGGGAAGGTAAGCTCTTCTGCTTTTGTCTGTGAATTCATTATCAAAACTTTCACTTTGGTAGAAATTTGTATTTGTTACACTAAATATTAAATTGCCTGAAAGGAAGTGAGAGTAAAAGCTGGTGTCATGATTTCTCAAAGTAATTTACACGTTTCATTGTCTGTTTGAGTTTGATACCATACTAGATTTAGTGGGTGATGGTTCTAAAGTTGTTTTGAAACAGTTTTAATGTAATTCTCTTATCGTTGAGCCAAAAATACAGCTTTAATTCAATATGTTAGTTTTTTCTTCTCATTTCCAGTAATCCAAGGTTTAGGTCTTTTAAATTGACAACAAAGATAAAGTATCTGTAGATTTGAAGAATTTGTACATGGTTCATTTTCGTTTGAGATGAACGGGAAATTTATAGATGAAGAGCAGATGGTTGAACCTTAAACTCTTCTAAGGAAATGTATGGAGAATGTAAATTGACTTTGATTTTAAAAACTTTTCCCTTGAGCATTTCATGAAATGGTGTTGCAACACTCATCAGCAGTAGATTAAATGTCAATTTATGATTGCACTTGGACTCAAAACATTAATGAAGGCTGCTGTTGCCTCAGGGTGGTGGTGACTCAGGCTGTTACCTCTGTTCAACCCTTTTGTTTGCTGTTTTCCTTTTTGCAGTTTAGTACAGTTTCTTCTTCAGTGTCAAGAAGTTTCAGTCCTTTTCCTGACTTGGGGCAATTTTTTAAACTAATAGCTGTCTTAGTTAGGTAGCCAGTCCAAAGTTAGTGCTCTGTAATGGACTTTTTAGAAACATCGTTTCATTTGTTATATTAAAAAATATATATATGTATATATGCTTATACAGAAAGCAAATTGTAATTACCAGTTCTCTGACAGTACCCTAGCTCATAGAAAGGATTTTGTTGAGGAAATCTAGCACTGTTTTCGTATTTGGTGAAGAAATGATAATAAAATTGATTTGTAACAAAAATTCTGAGACACTCAGGATAATACATCTGGTCATTTACTATGATAATGCTTAAAGATCAATGAATTTTTGGTGATATAAACCAAATGTGATGATATTTTAAAGAGTAAAGATCTCTCAATAAAGGTTTAAATTTTTGTGCTTTTTACTAAAAATAGAAAATAACCTAGAATCTATAGTTTAGATATTTTTACTATGTAGGAAAATACCTGATATTTTAGTATATAGGAATAAGGAAAGCTCAAGCTTTAAATAATTTTGGTAATATGTAAACCTGGGTTTTAAAAAATCCTTTAATTCCAAAGACCTGTGGTTAATTTACAAATGAGTTTTTCTCTGCAGGGCACCTGTACTAGTTGCACTTGCTTTGATTGAATGTGGAATGAAGTACGAAGATGCAGTTCAGTTTATAAGACAGTGAGTATGGAGTTTTATTTTCAGAAATACATAAAGCAGAATCATACAAGAGGGAGCAATTACAAAAAGTACCCAATTATAGTAGAGTAATTTGCTGTCTTTGGCTTAGAATGTTGTTTGAAGATACCAAAAATAGCAAGTGATAAAAAGACTCACAGTAACACTCTGGCTCCCAGATTTAAATATTTTCTCATTTAGATGACAAATTGGACATTGTAGAATATGTCCAGTATATGACTTGAATATCTAGAAATCTTTAAAAAACGAATAGCTAGGTAATGGAGTTTCAGTAATCTAGTACCTCTTTTAATAGATGTCCAAAATGCCTTCCAGGTGTAACTCTGTGACAAAGAGGAAAGGAATAAACCATAGAGGAGTAGTTAATCACCTAGGACTCTTAAGTGACCTGTTCAGTCACAGAATCAGGATGGTAGTGCCCAAACAGAATCTTGACATCAGTCTGGAAAAGCAGGCTATTTTGTTGTTTCTTTGGCAATTATTGTCTTGCCCTTTCTCTTTTTAGCCTTTTCTTATTAAAAAAAAAGACACTTTGTGACAAAGGGTATGAAATGTATGGTAGCAGCCCTTGGAAAGTAACATATTTCAAGGAATGTCATCTGTGTCTGCTGCTTTATATAAATATTTGCTCATTTATCCTAAATACTTGCTGCCAGTTCTAATATGAAGAATATATTAATTGGGAAGAATATAGTCAGATGTCTTTGGATAAACCATTCTGATATTTATTAACAATTAATAGATGCTAATGAGAGCAAAGAAAATTTGTCTATTTTTCATTTAGGAAGGCACAGAAATTTCATTGTTCAGTTCAGCCCTTTAACGTAGGAAGTGATATATGGGAAATATACTGGTTTTCAGCTATGTAGAGTTAGAAAGGCCATGGGCCATAAATATGCATGTCAGGCAGCTCTTTTTTTACATGATAAAGTTTGCCCTTCTTTTATTTTCAGAAAAAGAAGGGGAGCATTCAATTCCAAACAGCTGCTTTACCTGGAGAAATACCGACCTAAGATGCGATTACGCTTCAGAGATACCAACGGGCATTGCTGTGTTCAGTAAAGGAAATGTATACGAAGGCTGACTTGATTGTAGCATTTAGAGGGAACTCTTGGTACCTGGAAATGTGAATCTGGAATCTTAACTGTGTCATCAAAGTAGTGATGGATTCAGTACTCCTCAACCACTGTCCTAATGATTGGAAAAAAAGCAAATACAAATCCCTCTATAACGTGAATAAAATGTTTAAGAAAAGAAAAAGAGAAAGAAAATAGGGATTAATTTAGTGAAGGATGATTTTGCTTCTAGTGTTGGAGTTTGAATTTCTGCCAGGATTGAATTTATTTCAAAATCTCCTGTCTTTTTTAACTTTCTCAAAATAGGTCTCTAAGGAAAACCAGCAGAACATGAGCCTCTGCAGAACCATCTGTTTGGGGAGCACACTCTTCCATTATGCTTGGCACATAGATATCCCTGTTGTGGGATTTCTTTCTTTCTTGGGGGAGGGGGGTGGGGGAGATTGGTATATTTTTCCCTTCTTCTCACTTTCTCCTATCCCTGTTTTTTCCCCTGATACAAGTTGTAGGTGGAATAGGAGAAGCCCATGTTGCTGTAGATGTGTGTGCAGTCTGGCAGCCTTAAGCCCACCTGGGCACTTTTAGGAAAAAACAAACGAAAAAAAAAAAAACACCAAAAAAAGGAGCGGGGGGAGTGACATATATATTGTATGATCCAGGTGGTTCTTAGTCTTTACTGATGATGGGGTATTCATGTTAGTTTCTTTTCTTGAAAACCCTATTCAGCATTAGGCAAAGTAGCCAGGAACCTTTTGTTTTGATAAATTTGTAGGGAAATGGCATTTTAAGATGAGTCTCTCTTCTCAAAGAACTTAGCTGAGAGTCGAATTCATCTCTTTTCCAACCAATGAAGCTAAGTGGTTGTCCCAGAGATGTTTGTTTCGGAAGGGGAGTGCTCCAGGCCATCACTAAAGATGTGTCCAGGCAGAGCCTTAGTACACTTTCTATACCTTGTAGAAGTGTGGGCTGTAGCGTTACTCTGATTTTCTGTCTAATGATGTCAGAGAATGCTGGTAGTATAAAATTTTTTATTTTAGGACTTATTTGTACTCTGAATTTTCAGGAACAGTCAAAGGAGTAGCAGCAAAGACACAATATTTTAGACTTGAGAAATGCCTGTAATGGGTATTTTCCAAACTGCTCCCTATATGTACAGTTCAGTTTAACCACTGATTGCCTTGTTATTTTCTTACTAGGTTCTTTATGAGACTTAAAAAAAATTTTTTTTTGCTGGTTCAAAACCAACAATGCCTAGTGAGTATGTGTCCACAGGCCATAACAGGGTAGAAGAGAGATACAGAGCAGCTCCGTGCATAGCAAAGGGACTGTGGCTGGTGCAGCAGCGTAGTGTCATTTCTGCAGATGCTTTGCTGGGTTTAGTGTACTGATCTAGAAAAGCTGTTTTTCTGTTCCTTTGCTGTTGTGACCAGGCTGCATTGACAGAGCAAGTTGGAAGGTACCATCAGGGGCTCTTGCACTCTCCATCTGAATATTGCATAATTAATAGTGCTCTGCTTCTAAGGATTTGAATGGAGTCGTAGGGTCATCTTGTCCTGTTGGAATTTGCTATGCAGAGCCTTAAACTTCCCATTTTGTTAGGATCAGCTAGGCCAGTAGGAATGGACCAGGACCTTGTCTCACACTGATGATACCTCAGATGTTGGCTGGCTGTGTGAACTGCCTATTTCCTATGCCAAGCTGTTTTTGATTTTTAAATAAATGAAAATCTGTAGATTCTCTCCTCCCCTGTCCCAGAAAACAAAGCAAAATAATGCTTTTTGAAATTGTCTCTAGGATTTTAGAGTGAAAACTGATGGTACTATCCAAAATTCTTTATTTCAGAATCTGACAGTAGATTCCTTTAACATAGACTCAAGATCAAAACAGCATACCCTCTAAACTCAGATAGACTGTTGACTCCAGGGGTTTTGATCAGTACCATAACAAACCTTTTTCCTTTGACATGCTCTGATTTTTGTTGTTTGGAGGGAGAGAAGAAGGGAGGGGGAGAGGAAGGGGGGAGAGAGAGTGTGTGTGTGTGAGTGAGTGAGTGAGTGAGTGTGCAGTATCCACCAGTAACAGTGCCTGCCTGAGTTAGGAAAATTACATTCCTGGTTCTGTATGAGGAGAAGGGTATGTAAAATAACATGAAACATTAGCCCTCATATTGTTTTAAATTACAGAATAATGTTAATTGTTCTCAGAACTGGATTTTCTTCAAAATTAAAAAAAATTTTTTTTTTTCTTTTGGATTTAATGAAGTATTGCTAGCTGAAGCCAGTTTGACATGGTGAGAGAGATGTCAGACTGATGAAAGGTGTGCAGCCTGATTTAAAACCAAACCCTGAGCCCTTTTAAAGAACAATAAAACATATTTTACATGCTCTTTGTCTGTGTATTTGTTCTCTGTCCTCAGGTTGAATTTTATTTATGTCTCCTTAGAAATCTTGGTATTCTCAAGGCCTCTTTTGGGTCCTGCTTATAATTACTGTAAGGAGGTGAAATAATCAGAGGTTGGGAAGTTTGAAGATTTCTTGCCTCCTGGGTGTTTAGTAAGGGCAGACTTAACAGTAGTTGGGATATGTGAAAATCACTTTCTGGTTCAGTTCTTGGAGGTAGCGCTGTAGGAATTCAGCATCTTGTCTCAACTCAAAGCATTGGTTTATTCCATAGAGTTTTGATGAAGCACTGAGAGGTTTTACAGGAAAGCTTCAAGAACAGTGAGAAAGGAGGAACTTTGTGTATCATAGGATTTTGGGGTGGGATGTTCCCTTAAACTATGGGTGAACATCTCTCCATCCATCTGGATAACAAATTCATGGGTGAGGTACTGAGAATGAAAAGATACGATACTGATCCCACTTTGGACGACCTCTGTCCAGAAAAGGAACCAGATACGTAGACAGTGGTTACAGAGCTTTTACAGAGCTATGACTTAACGGTTCACTGATCTTTCACTTCATGTCCTTCATTATGCAGCTTAGATTCTGTGATCCAGTGTTAGAATCACGCTTAGCTACATAGTCAATTGCCTTGCCCCATCTCTTGCTTCATTATACTTGCCTGGCTGAACTCCCATTTTTGGTTAAGGTCAGTATGGCACCTCTGCAATTATGCAACTGAACTTCCTGGCACAGTTTCTGTGGTTTAAAGTCACAATCTCAAGTAGACCTTAGTATCACAATCCTATTGCATTTCTCTGTCCCATTTACTCTTTTGATCCCCTTGAAAACTTTTTAACATTTTTCTAACTCTCACTCTCAACTTATGACTTTTTTTTTTTTAACTTAGAAAATGGAAACAAATTTCACAGACTCCTACTGTCACATCCTTGTCGGGAGTACTTTTGAGTAGTTTCTTAATAGTAGAGCCTTGACTTGAAGGGGTTATACAAATAGCATGTTAAAGTGCTGTGACTATAGCACCTGTAGGAAGAGTGATAACTTACTAGTAAGTATTTGAGCACCTGCCACATACTTACACTATTCTAAGGATTTAAGATATGGTGGCAAATAAATACCCTTACAGGGTTTAAATTCTAGTGAAGATAGAGAATAAATACAAAGATAAGTAATACACTTTTAGATGTGTGTGTGAGAGTATGAAGTCGCTCAGTCATGTCCAACTCTGCGACCCCATGGACTGTAGCCCACTAGGCTCCCCTGTCCATGGGATTCTCCAGGCAAGAATACTGGAGTGGGTTGCCATTTCCTTCTCCAACACTTTGAGATAGTGGTTAGTAACTATGAAGATATGAAGAAAGTAAAAGGGGTTATCGATGGGGTTATGTATGGAGTTAGATGGGAGGGTCAGGGAACATCTCTGGGAGTGTACTACGTGCAGATGCCGTGTGAAGGCAGTGGAAGTACTTTCCAAGCAGTGTAACTGTGTTTCAACTTAAAACACAACTTGTATGTTCAGAAAATAGTGGTATGGCCGAAGTCCAGCAAGGAGTAATGGTGAAATTCAGGCAGAGACCAAACTGTGTGGATTTGAGGAGGCTGGAAATTTGAGGAGGAGGGATCATATTGTAGAGGGTATTGCATATCAGAGCAAGAAACTTGAAAGTCTTATTTTTTAATCAGGAGGAAACATCAGATTCAACTATATGGTTTATTAAAAATGTCCATGTCCAGGCATCACTAAGGTCATCCTGAATCAGTCTTAAGTTGGGAATCTCTGGATAATGAGGAGTCTTTGAAGGTGGTAAACACAGCAATTACATAGATCTGTGCTCAAAAAGCTTATTCAAGAAGTCTTTATATTAGGATTTCCCTAGTAGCTCAGTGGTAAAGAATTCACCTGCCAATGCCCGAGACAAGGGTTTGATCCCTAGTCTGGGAAGATCCCACGTACTCTGGAGCAACTAAGCTTGTGTGCCGAAACTATTGAGCCTACGCTCTGGAGCCAAAGAGGTGCAACTATTGAGCCCGTGTGCCACAACTGCTGAAGCCTGTGCGCCCTAGATGCCATGCTCCACAACAAGAGAAGGCACTGAAATGAGAAGTCTGTGCACAGCATCTGAACTGTAAACCCTGCTCACTGCAACTAGAGAAAAACCCACACAGCATCAAAGACCCAGCACAGCCATAACATTATATAAAAAAAGAAGTCCTTAAATTAGAGGCCATACTTCTTAGGAAAGTCAGTTGCTGCAATACTATGCATGCAAAAACAGCTGAATGAATGACGTGTGGAGAGAGTAGAAGCTGAGACCGTTTATGGGTGGTAGGCTTTCTGCTTCATTGACTACACTAAAGCCTTTGACTGCATCACAACAAACTAGAAAATTCTTAGATGGGAATACCAGGCCACCTTACCTGCCTGCTGAGAAACCTGTGTGTATGTCGAGAAGCAAGTTAGAACTGGGCATGGAACAACTGACTGGTTCAAAATTGGAAAAGGAGTATGGCAAGGCTGTACATTGTCACCTTGCTTATTTAACTTATATGCAGAGTACATCAGGTGAAATGCTGGGCTGGATGA